GGCAGAATAAGCCCGAAACAGTGCTGTATCAATCTACCCGCATTCTCTGTCGTCCCTCCTCGCTGATATATATATATATATATATATATGGTAAATGTATACCGGAAGCCGCTAGAGAATGCTGGGGGTCCCACTGAAGAGCCAACCCCCTCGCAGCTGTGTCACGCAGCGGCAGAATATCGGCGAAAAACGTGTCTGGGCTTTTAGCAAGTATCTAGGTCGGAAGTACGGTATAATACCTTTACCATATGAAATTCATACTACTCGTAGTACTACTTGTTTTTAGAATGGGCATTACGTGGTTATTCCACAGTAGTTGATTGTCGTCGACTCAAATGTTCATTGAAATTTCGGTTCTGACCTTAAAAAGTCATGTCCCGGAGATTTAACTCCAAGTTCTGCGTTGATTAATTTCCGAAATTATTCACCTGATATATATATATATATATATATATATATATATATAGACAAATAATGGTAGGGGGCGCTCACCGATCATTCTTACCGAAATCACTCGTTCTGCTGTGCGTACATATATATATATAGTGGTAGGGGGCGCTCACCGATCGTTCATACGTTCATATATACGTTCATATATATATATATATATATATATATCATTCGAAATATATATATATATATATATTGTATATTCCCGATCGAAAACCGACAGGGCAACGGGCTCGTGGCCCAGTGAGTAGAGGCGTTGACTTCTAAACCAACAGGTCGCGAGTTCGAGGCTCGGGTGTTCCACACTTCGGGCTTGGGTATGGCTGGCTGACGACGGCTAATAAGCCAGAAATGGCCATTCCAGTCTCCCTTGTCTTTGTCGGTAATACTATTCTGCCTATATATATATATATATATATTCCGAATGATAGAGAATACGCGCGGCCCAGGTAATTGCATAGAAGACGGGAAGGCCATCGCTGAGACCAATGGTTTATTTATCCGACGTTCCGAACTCTCACGCGAGCCCATCTTCAAGGAATGAAAATACTGTACAACTCATCGCACATTTAGCTCATCTCTGCCGGGGATGACCTCCAGCTGCGTTGCTGATTTATTCACGCAGTGATTGATAAGCGATTGGCAGATCGATATGTCGACTGATCGTGTCCTCAGTTGAGTGCCACGCTTCCTGCAGCAGGCGAGCAACTCGGTTGTCTGACTGCCCCAGCAGTCTAAGGCTCTCGAAGTCAAAGGCGTGCCCTGGCGAGGAGGCGTGGGCGGCTACCAAGGAGAATTTGTCGTTTCGTCTCACGGCCAATTCATGCTCGTTCAATCTCGTGCGGAACTGTTTGCCGGTTTCACCAAAATAAATGGCCTGACCGCAATTGCAGTCTATCCGGTAAAAGCATCCCGATTCCCATAGATCAAAAATCGGGAGTCATTTACCGGATATACTGCATCGAGACTGCCACGAGCTCGAGAGAGAGCCCTTAAGGCACAACAGAACGGGTGAGTTCCGTATGAACGATCAGTGAGCACCCCCAACCACTGTATATTCCCGATCGAAAACCGACAGTACAACGGCCTCGTGGCCCGGTGGGTAGAGGCGTGGAGCTCTAAACCAACAGGTCGCGAGTTCGAGGCTCGCATGTTACACACTACGGGCTAGGGTATGGTTGGCTGACTACGACAAATAAGCCAGAAATGGACATTCCAGTCTCACTTGACTTTGTCGGTAATTCCATTCTGCCTATATATCATGCGCCGCTGTGCGCCTGCTGGTTGGGCTCGAGAGAGAGCCCTTAAGGCACAAAGGAACGAGTGAGTTCCGTACGAACGATCGGCGAGCGCCCGTAAAATTATATATATGAGATAGTACCGACAAAGACAAGGGAGACCGGAATGGCCATTTCTGGCTTATTAGCCGTCATCAGCCAGTCATACCCAACCCCAAGCGTGGATCACTTGAGATTCGAACCCGGGATCTTTGGTCATGGAGTTGAACGCTCTACCATTGAGCCACGGGCCCGTTGTCCTGTCGGTTGTGATCGGGAATATTAATTATGATAGTGGGCGCTCACCGATCAAGCCAGAAATGGCCATTCCGGTCTCCCTTGTCTTTGTCGGTACTATCTCATCTATATCTACTACTAGTCGCTGTGCGACTGCCTGCGAGGGTTTAAGTATGAGCCCCAAGGCACAACGGAACGAGCATGTTCCGCAACCTGATCGGTGAGCGCCCACCAACCAGCCCATTTCTCACAAGCGGAGTGCCGTAAACAGTCTGCTTAGTCGAGCAAAAACACATTGTTCGGATGAAAAAGGCTATCGAGCCGAAATGAACTACTGGTACGAATTATTTTCGCAAAATGGATACCTTAAGGATTTTGTACGCAGATGCATGAGGCAGCGAGAATCAAGGGAGAAGGAGCCGGGTAGTTCCAATCAGACGCCTGAACTAAGCACATGGCGGACTCTTCCTTACATCAAGAATGTGTCTGAACTTGTCGAAAGACACTTAAGGAAGCACCAAATTCGAGTAGCGCACAAACCTACGACTACTTTGCGCTCTCAGCTGGTACATCCTAAGGATAGTGTTAACCAGCTGAACAAGAAAGAGAGCGTCTACAAGATACCGTGTGATGCATGTGCTGCCGTCTATTGTGGCCAGACTGTAAAATCCGCGTCAACACGCATCCATGAGCACCAGTTGGCAGTAAAGAGACGAGACTATCTGTCTCAGGTAGCCATGCATACTCTGGACACCGGGCACACTTTTGCTTGGGACAAAGCTCGCGTTGTCGCGGTCTGTCCTTTCAAGAAAGGCCTAGAATTTCTCGAGGCAATGCACTCTGATGAATCATGCATCAACCGGCATATCGAGTTGGATGCCGTGTACAGAAACCTGAAGGAGAAATGGAAGAGAAGGGAGCCAACCAGCTCAGGCTGATACACGGCGGCCGCCAACCGGCGCACACGCCATGCAAGTATCGATTAAAGTAGCGATTAAAGGCCTTAAAATGGACCAAAATATTATCATTATTCCCGCGGACAAAGGAGGCTCTACTGCCATTTTGAACAAGACGGACTACAAAGAGAAAATGCTGTCATTATTAGACGACAGATCTACTTACCAACCACTCCCCACGGACCCCACCAAAGCGCAAGCTTCATCCATCGACAAAGTATTGAAGCGTCTCACAGGGAGGAAACAACTGTCAGAAGACATCGCTAAATCGCTCAAACAAACTGAGCCGACCATCGCGAAGATCTATGGATTGCCTAAAGTCCACAAAACCGAAGTCCCACTTAGACCGATTGTATCACTAATCGGTGCGCCTAACTACAAAATTTCCAAATGGTTATTCCAGGAAATTCATCCGCTCACGAAGAATTGTGAAACTTCAATAGAGAACTCGACAGAATTCCTGAAGAAATTGCAAGGCATCACAATTTCCTCCGATGAGATAATGGTCTCTTTTGATGTCGTTTCCCTGTTCACGTCAATACCGTTGGATGTCGCAAAACAATGCACCGAGGACCTCCTACTGTGCTACGACACTGATGTGCCCGCCGCCGCTGTGCTCTGACTGATTGGTTTATGCTTGGAAACTAACTTTTCATTCGACCAGCAATGCTACAAGCAACTGAACGGAGCCCATATGGGGTCACCCATTTCTGGTTTCCTCGCTGAAATAACAATGCAGAAACTAGAGGCGACGGCACTCCCGTTATGTACTCCTAAATTGTGGCTGCGATATGTGGATGACACATTTGTTATCGTAAAAAAGAACCAACTAGAAATGCTCCACAATACCATTAACTCAACAATTTCTGGGATTCAATTCACACTTGAAAAGGAAGTGGACAGCAAACTCCCATTTCTGGATGCTCTCGTGCAGCGTAAGGTCGACAGAACATAACGCACATCTGTGTACCGAAAAGAAACTTACGCTGAAATCATTCTACCTTATAAGAGCAACCAGCCCATTTCTCACAAGCGGAGTGCCGTAAACAGTCTGCTTAGTCGAGCAAAAACACATTGTTCGGATGAAAAAGGCTATCGAGCCGAAATGAACTACTGGTACGAATTATTTTCGCAAAATGGATACCTTAAGGATTTTGTACGCAGATGCATGAGGCAGCGAGAATCAAGGGAGAAGGAGCCGGGTAGTTCCAATCAGACGCCTGAACTAAGCACATGGCGGACTCTTCCTTACATCAAGAATGTGTCTGAACTTGTCGAAAGACACTTAAGGAAGCACCAAATTCGAGTAGCGCACAAACCTACGACTACTTTGCGCTCTCAGCTGGTACATCCTAAGGATAGTGTTAACCAGCTGAACAAGAAAGAGAGCGTCTACAAGATACCGTGTGATGCATGTGCTGCCGTCTATTGTGGCCAGACTGTAAAATCCGCGTCAACACGCATCCATGAGCACCAGTTGGCAGTAAAGAGACGAGACTATCTGTCTCAGGTAGCCATGCATACTCTGGACACCGGGCACACTTTTGCTTGGGACAAAGCTCGCGTTGTCGCGGTCTGTCCTTTCAAGAAAGGCCTAGAATTTCTCGAGGCAATGCACTCTGATGAATCATGCATCAACCGGCATATCGAGTTGGATGCCGTGTACAGAAACCTGAAGGAGAAATGGAAGAGAAGGGAGCCAACCAGCTCAGGCTGATACACGGCGGCCGCCAACCGGCGCACACGCCATGCAAGTATCGATTTTTTGTGCACTCTTGACGTTAGCTGTTTCTCGCTTTCACATGCGCTTTCCGCTTGCGTCTGACGACGACCTGGGGAACCAGCGTCGAAAATTTACGCAATAAACCCTCTGGTCCCACAGAACCCATCTCTTTTCAACATATATACATATATATACTGGCTATCCCTCTCCTTGATCCGGTCCTTTGTATTTGCGCACGCACACCAGTGCGACCACTGTTTCAAATGGGATGACACGGAGGTCATCTTCACGGCCAACACAAAACAGGCAAGAGAATTTCCAGAGGCATGGCACTCTAAACCGTACAGCATCAACCGCCATGTTTACCTAGACGCCCATTATGAGGGCCTAAAATCACGTCTCACTGAGCTGAGCCCCACGCCGCATCAGCGGCTACCAATCCCGGCGCCCACAGTTCCTCTAACTGACAGTTCTCCCTTCCCTCTAACACGGGGAACCGTAACTGTTCTCTCGCCCCCACCCGGCTCAGAGCAAAACATGACTCCCTGCACGCATCATTTCTCACACGCTAATGGTCCGCCCATCAATGATTGTTCTGCTGCGTCAACTAGTCTTTTGGGATTGTTTATATATGCATATACACATATATATAATGGTAGAGGGCGCTCACCGATCGTTCATACGAAAATCACACGTTCCGTTGTGCCCTACGGGCTCTCTCTCGAGCCCAACCAACAGCCGCACAGCGGCGCATGATATAGGCTGTACGTTATTACCGTCAGAGACAATGGAGACTGGAATAACCATCTCTGGCTTATCGGCCGTCGTCAGCCAGTCATTCCCAAACCCGAAGTAGGGAACACCCGAGGCTCGAACTCGCTACCTGCTAGTTAGAAATCCTCGCCTCTAACAACTGGGTAACGAGCCTCGGGTGTTCGGCACTTTGGGGTTGGGTATGACTGGTTAACGACTGCTCATAACACAGAAATGGCCATTCCAGTCTCCCTTGAATTTATCGGTAGTGCCATTCTGCATATATATGATGCGTCGCTGTGCCGCAGTTGGTTGGGCTCCATAGAGCCCGTAAAGCAAAACGGCTGCTGCAATGCGGAGTGTCATTCCGCGTTTCCAGCATCACTGCGATCTGCTACATTACCAAGTATGATCTTAACCTACTTGGTCTCGACTGGATTGAACAACTTGGGTTGACCGATATGCTGCTCCACGTTCTTTGCAGTCAGGTGTAGATTCCCGCTGTGCTTGCAGACCAAGCCAAAGACATTCTCCAACGGTTTGCTCCAGTGTGCCAAGACGGCCTGGGTCGTTGCACGTACACTCAAGCCGTGCTACATCTGTCTCCTGGAAATCAACCAGTCTTCCGTCCAAAGCGACCAGTCCCATATGCAGCCCTACCACTTGTCGAGGCTGAATTGAAGCGTCTAGAGGAATTGGGAGTTCTGGTTCCTGTATCCTACTCCGCCTGGGCCGCTCCAATCGTTGTGTTTAAGGAGCCCAATGGCTCTATCCGCATTTGTGCTGACTTCTCCACCGGTCTCAATGCCGCGCTGACGGCGAACTGCTATCCATTACCGGTTCCGGCTGATCTTTTCACCCTGCTGAATGGTGGCACTTGCTTTGCCAAGTTGGATCTTGCTGATGCGTATCTGCAGATCGAGGTCGCCCCAGAGTCGCGCGAATTGTTGACCATCAATGCCCACCGCGGTCTGTTCCAATACACCAGGCTGCTCTTTGGTGTCAAGACCGCCCCGGCCCTATTCCAACAAACGATGAACGCAATGCTCTCCGGCATCCCTGGCACAGCTGGGTACCTGGACGACATCATCATCGTGGATCGCTCCCCTGCCGAGCTGCAAGACCGAGTGTGCGCAGTACTCGAACGCGTGCAGGAATATGGCTTTCGGCTGCGGGTCGACAAGTGCCAATTCTTCCTCGACTCTATCAAGTACCTCGGATTTGTTTTTGACGTCACTGGTCGCCATCCAGCTCCTTAAAACATTCGGGCCATCCAACGGATGCCTGTCCCCAAGAATGTATTGCAACTTCGTTCGTTTCTTGGCCTGCTCAGCTACTATAACGCCTTCCTACCATCGCTGCATGACGTACGGGCCCCGCTCAACCGTCTGTTGCAGAAGGATGCTCCCTGGTGCTGGTCCCCGACTGTGAAAAGGCCTTCGCCCAGCTAAAGTCGATGCTGAGTTCAGATCTGCTGCTCACGCACTACGACCTGACGCTGCCGATCGTTGTTGCTGCAGATGCTTCCAACCACGGAGTTGGTGCCGTCATCCCACATACTTTTCCTGATGGGTCTGAAAAGGCGATCATGCACGTATCTCGCACGCTAACCCCTGCGGAGAAGAACTATGGGCAAATAGGGAAAGAGGCTCTAGCCCTCGTGTTTGCTGTCAAGAAATTTCACAAACTGTTGTACGGTCGCCACTTCCTGATGTTGACGGATCACAAACCATTGCTATCAATCTTCGGTGCGAAGAAGGGCATTCCCGTCTACTCAGCCAGCCGACTTCAGTGATGGGCAATCATCATACTTGGCTACGATTTCGACATTCGCTACTGTCGTTCTACAGACTTTGGTCAGGCTGACGCCCTTTCTCGCCTCATCATCAATCATCAGGAACCAGAGGAAGATACCGGGATTGCAGCTATTTCGATTGAGGACGGTGTGCGCCGTCAGCTATCAGACGCCATACGAGGTATCCCTGTCATTGCCGCGGACATCCGACGTGCTACTGAACAGGATCCCATCCTCCGTCAGGCCATCCCCTACGTGCAGACCTGCTGGCTAACCACTGCTCTCGCTGGCGATCTTCGCCAGCTCTTCCTCCGTCGAGTATCGCTATCTGTAGTTGACTCCTGCCTCATGTTTGCGGGCCGTGTGGTGATCCCATCATCCCTCTGACCCACTGTACTACGCTAGTTCCATGCGGCTCATCCTGGTACCAGCCGAATGAAGTCTATTGCTCGCAGTTTTGCCTACTGGCCGGGTATCGACGGCGACATCGACGACCTGGTTCGACGCTGTTCTCGATGTCAGCAAGCTGCCAAGATGCCGTCTCGTCAACCGCCAGTACCCTGGGAACCACCAGAGAGGCCTTGGTCACGCGTGCACATCGACTTCGCCGGTCAACTTAACGGAGTCTCCTACCTAATCTTGGTTGACGCCTACTCGAAGCGGCCCGATATTGCTCCGCTGAATCCAGCGACCGCATCTTCCACTATCACCTTCCTATGACGCATATTTAGCCAACATGGCTTACTGGAAGACCTGGTTTCAGACAATGCCTCTCAGTTTACTTCGTCGACATTTGAGGATTTCTGCCGCCAGCACAATATCCAACATCTTCGTTCGCCGCCCTACCATCCTCAGTCAAACGGTCAGGCGGAGTGATTTGTCCACACGTTTAAGAGAGTCCTCTTGAAAGCTCGTGGGGAGGGGCCATGGACGAGATAGCCCAAGCATTTCTGTTTTCCTACAGCCAACACCGAACCCGGCGTCCCCTGGTGGCGGTTCTCCTGCCGAAGCATTGATGGGCCGAAAACTGCGTACAACGTTTAGTGCCCTCGTTCCTACCGGTGCGCAGCCCGCACAGATTTCTCCAGTCTGTTACAGCAAGCCCTCCATCGGAACACCTGTCTTCGTTCGTGATTATCGAGCGGGGTTTCCTGGCTGTATTGAAGCAACCGTAGTAGCGCACGGAGGCAGTATGTTGTTTGACGTCGACGTTGGTGATGGCATCTGGGTTCGCCACCACAACCAGATCCGACGGCGACACTGCAGTAACACAACTGGGCTCGAGTCGGCGCCGTCACTCCCCCTTGACATCCTACTGGATACCTTCGCCATTCCGGCAGATCGGTCGGTTCCCGAACCCACTGCTGCGCCTCCTTCGGATGTACCGCCTTCGGTATCAGTCACTGCCCCTGGGTCTCCAGACAACAAACCACGACTAAGACGCCGAAACAACCGCGTGCGCCGATCAACACGGCTGATGCAGGTCAACCCACGCCAGAAGCGGTACTGACCTACTTGGAGGGGAGGAGGTGGGAGTGCCTACACTCCCAAAAACAAGTGCAAACCAATCACTGGAGATCACGTGCATTTGCTCTCTCTCTCTCTACAGCGCTAGCATCTCAATCAGGCGCCTTCCCATTGGCTACTCCCCTCGTCCCGAAGGTCATTGGACCGAATGCCGTCGAACCACGGTAGCGTGTTATAAATATGCGTCACCCTTAGCTAATCGCGACTTGCAGTGTTTTGTTAATACACTTTCCGTGGCCAGCCGTGGGTTCTTTGTCTGCTGCCTTGGTATTGGGGACCAGGGTTGAGTGCGTATACGCTCCACGGAATTTCACGTACCAGGCGGGTCATAACAGTTTTCTTTGTGAGTGATGAACACAATGTGAATATTATCGACAGCTGAAAGGACTTCTTATGGGGTCACCTATATCTGGCTTTCTGGATGAGAACACAATGTAAAAATCAGAGCATATAACCTACCATTTTTCAATCCCAAATTATGGGTACGCTACGTTGATGATACCTTTGTCATCGTCAATATGGATCAACTGGATACGCTGCATAATATTATCCACGGAACACTACCGGGAGTCACCTTCACGCCCGAAAAATAAGTTGCATGCAAACTCCCATTTCTTGATGTTCTCGAACAGCGAAATCTGGCGGGATATTCCATACGTCGGAATATCGCAAAGTAGCTTATGCGGAAGTTATCCCACATTACGAAGAAAATCAACCTATCGCTCACAAACGCACTAATTTTAACACCCTACTTAATCGAGCAAAGACACATCTCTCTGAGAACGAAGCGTACAAAATGGATCTCAGTCATTTATTCAACGTATTTTCCAAAAACGGATACTCTAAAGATTTTGCACGCCGATACACGAGCCAGCAGAAATCAAAAGAAGGATATGAGGAAAAAGATTGTTCTGATCGGGCGACAAAACGAAAACCTAAAACTGTCGAACGCCTCCTAACATTAAAAATGTGCCTCAACTCGTTGAAATACACCTGAGTAAGCACCAAATACGACTGACGCACAGACCGACGACTACGCTACGCAATCAGCTTCTATACCTTAAGGACAGGTTTGGCTATTTAGATAAGAAGACGTAGTCTATAAGGTTTCGTGTGGCACTTGTGATGCGATGAACAGTAGTCAGACTGGGAAATTCGCCTCCACACGCCTGCATGAAGACCGATCGGCAGTAAAGAGGCGGGACGTATTACCCTAAATTGTCATTCATACTCTAAAGACTGGGCACAAATTTGCTTGAGATAAAGCACGCATTTTCGGTTTGTGCCCATATAACAAAGGCCGAGAATTTCCAGAGGCCATTCAGTCTGGTGATTCATGCATCAAGCGACGCATAGACCTAGACGTCATGTACACAAATCTCAGAGGGAAATGGAAAAGGTGATAGCCAATCAAAACGTGACATGAGCTCACAGCATTGACCCATCCTCAGCACTGACAAAGCATTATCGATTTTTCAAGCATGTTTAGATTTTAAACGTTTTTCACAATTTCTACACGTCTGACACGGACCAGGGAACCAGCGTCAAAAATTGGCGAAGTAATCAGGGCTCAATTTCCCAAAGGACGCATTTTTCTTTGAATTTTGTTTCGTACGATGCCCATCTTCCATTACACACATGTATGCGTTGATGGGTTGGCGCTCACCGATTGGTCTTACGGAAGTCACTCGTTCCGTTGTACCTTACCCGATCTCACACGTAGATAAGGCTAAAGAAACAAAGACAAGGGAGTTTGAAACACCCGATTTGTCTCGTTATCCGTCACCAGGCAGTCATAACCAGTATCAGTATTAGACCCTCTGAGATTTGAACTAGACATCATTGATCATTTTTGTGGCACTATACGATTGAGTTCCTGCCCCTTGGCCTGTCGGTTGTGGTCGGGAATATTAATTATGCTAGATGGGCGTTCACTAATCAGTTTACCAGGTGTGCTTGTCCCGCACCGCCTTGGGGCTCAAACTAGAATCCACACAGGCTGTTACATACCGAGTAGTAATATGGGGTTATGGTTCAAGCCCAAAGGCACAACGGGACGACCACGTCCCATAAACCGATCGGTGCACGCCCACATACGGGAAGCCATTGAATCGGTGTGTGCCCATTGCTGAGTGAATAAATACCCGATCTACAGCGACAGAGAATGGCAGGTGGCATGGCACTAATGAACTTTTACTGCGGTAATTATCGTCCTGTCAGTCTTACTTGCATCAAGTGTAAAATAATGGAACTCATTATCAAAAGACACTTGATGAAATACCTGGAACAGAACAAAATATTGCGTGATGCTCAACACGTCTTTCGTCCAGAGCGCTCCTGCCTAACGAGTGTTCTTTACTCGCACGAGAAATGGACACGAGCTACCGATAAGGGTTTTCCAGTAGATGTCATATTTTTGACTTCAAGAAGGCCTTTCACAGTGCCCCACACAGGCTTCTTTTACAAAAGATCTGGGATGTAGGGATTCAAGGGAGAATGTTTAAGTGGATCAGAAGTTTTCTGTCCTCCAGACTACAAAGAGTCGTCGTTATTAATTCTGCCTCGGAATGGGTAAAGGTGGAAAGTGGTGTCCCACAGGGTCCTCTCTTAGGCCCAGTACGCTTCCTGATTTATGTTAATGACTGCATCAGCGAAGTGAATTGCGAGGCTCTCATGTTCGCGGATGATATAAAAATGTGGAGTGAAGTCAAGTGCGAAGATGACGCAGAGAAGTTGCAGTCGAACATCAACAAACTGTGTGCTTGGTCGAACAGATGGCTTTTGAAGTTTAACGTGTCCAAATGCGTGGTTTTGCACCTGAACACCGGCCGCAATGCCTCTCCCAAACACCAGTACAATATTGACGGGACGAGGTTAGAAACTGTGGAAAGACACAGAGATCTGGGTGTATGGACGACCACAAATCTATCGCCATCAGAACACTGCAGAAAGATGGTCCCGAAGGCAACAAGTACTCTACACTGGATCAGACTTGCATTTAAAATATTTCCTCCCGAACTTTTCGAAAGACTGTTTCGTGTCTTTGTAAGACCTCATCTAGAGTATGGAATGCCAGCAGCTTCACCATGGATGAGGAAGGATATCAACTTACTCGAACAGGTGCAACGCAAAGCGACAAAGATGGTCGACGGTCTGAAACAATTGTCCTATCAGGAGAGGCTGAATTTGCTTGGCCTACTCCCTCTCTCTTATAGACAAATAAACTTCAGTCTACTGTGGACGTTCCGGATTGTTCGCGACCAGGGTTGCTCATTAAGAGCAGAGGACTTCTTTGAGTTCGCCCGTACAAACCAACTACGCGGCCATGCATACAAAGTCGGGAATGAGCGCACGCGTTTAGACCGACGAAAATTTTCATTCAGCCAGCGGGTTGTCAGACCGTGGAACTCGCTTTCAAGCGAGATGGTGACGGCTGACACAGTTTGTGTGTTTAAAAGAAAACTAGTTCGTCTAGTTTTCGACAGAAATCGGCTTGTACAGCATGACTATGCACAGCCAGTTTTGTAAAATCTGTGATATACAATCTTCCGCACTAATTTACGGTGACCCCATGCACTACCTTATGATTAGGATTGAACTGTGACCCAATCACATTTTAAATTCCTGCAATTTTATTCTATTTTTAAGTATGAATCTGCGAAATCACTGTACATAAATAGGGTCATCAAGGGCTCTGCCTGTAACCCTTCAATATACATACATACATTCTGGAACTTCGGTTTGATGAACTGCTTATGGCCCATCCGGTAGACCCCAGTGGTGGACCAGCTGGGCCATGTGTGTCTGCGCGCATGTTTGCGTTTCCGGTCCTACCTGGTGGTCAGGATTATGGTTGGCTGAATAAAGGCGAACAGACGCGAAACAGTTCTGCATCATTTTACCCTCCCCACCCCCCCCCCTGCCAGACACTGTCGTCTCCCCTCTGCCGCCATATCTTAGCTGACATGTGTCTGATAGGTGGTTGCATGTTCGTGACCCTTGATGATTTTCCTCGGAGTTGAACGTCTGTGAAAATGTCGGGACCTCGGAATCAGGCACAAATTGTTCTTAATGCAGCCAAAATAATCTCGTGACTTAGTTTTTGATGTATGGTCAATCATATTTGAAGTGCTCTTATGTAATTCAGATAAATGGACGAAAAGAAGTTTGCGATACCCACAATGGTTAGCAGT